GAGCTGTAGAAGCTTTTTTTCTTTGCACTCTGGAGTAACAATGCTTTGTTTGTTCCGGTCCACACAGATGAATCATCCCAACATAAACATCTGATGCATTCTCAAATCACGTCTCTGTGGAAACAAGTCGGCAGAGTTTTTAGTCAAAACAAGCAAAGATTACAGCGTATTTGGAGTAATACGGGGCAGAATTTCACGAAAAGAGCACATCTACTGAAAAACACAGACCAATAATGATTTGGGCTTGGATCAGAACCAGCGTCGTGGTGAACATGCTACTTGTAGGGAAAACCAGACGACTGTGGAAGTGAACACGTGTGCATGTAAATATTGTTACAGCAGAGGAGAGCAGCTTTAACAACAAGACAATCATCCTGAACAGGTGTGAAAATGTCACAGGAGAATATGAAGAAAATCAGCTGAGTTCTCTTCAACGTTTCATCACAGATTAAACCATTGTTCCACTAGGAATACACGTTGCCCGCCTTCTTGCATGCCAAAATATTAGACCTCATATGGCCTGCTAGTGCTCAGACTACATGATGGGGATGAGTCTCAGCTACTACCACACCAAAGACTGTCAGTCAATCAAAAAAAAGATGGCCTACAGCCAATACGCCTTAATCAACACAAAAAATGTGTTTCTTTTTCAGGGTTTGACTAAAATGGGCGATACACATTTATTTAGGAAAAGTTCGGTTTTTTTTTTTATTATTATTTTGAAAAACAGCAATTATAAAAGGAAATATATTTAACGTCTCCAAAAGGTAACATTTCATTTAGAAATCTGCACATTTTTTGCATAATTTATCATCATCAGCAACAGATTTACCAACACGGTTGTCTTACAGCTGATGTTAATTTCTTTGATTGGTTCACTTTATTGGAGGAAACGTATATACTGACTAAAAAGAATCAACTTTAACATTTTAAAGTAAAGCAAGATATTTAAAGAGAATAAATATTGCCTCCTGATATGCTTCCAACTTTTTAATTCTATATTTATGACATAAAGTTCTGTTTTGTAATATAACTCAAAGTATTTGTTTAAACATGAAAATAAATCTAGTATAGCTTGCTCTCATTAGAGAGATTTATGGGACTCACTTCATTTACTTCTGTTCAAAAATTTCACAGAAAAAAGTTGCTACAATTAGGAAGAGGATTAGAACAAGAATGCAGACAAACACAAGGAGCTCAAGAACATAAAACTAAATTTATTAAAGCAAAAATAAAAAGCTGACATGACAAAAAACTAATAAAAACCTAAGGAGGATCTTGAGGAACCTCACAGGGAGCATTGATGGTCAACCAACACAAACTGACTCAATGAATTTAAACGTTTACACCTCCAGATGCAGGAAGAGGACCACCTGCATCATGAAGGACCCCACTCACCCAGCACACACACTTTTTGCCCCACACCCCTCAGGAAGGAGGTTAATGAGCATTAAGCGTAGAACCACTAGACTGATGAACAGCTTCTACCCTGAGGCTGTTAGACTCATGAATCTCTAACCAGAATAATCACCTTGTAAAATCACATCATGTTGCTGCTGATCTGATTCATGTTGCTGTGTTCATGCGTGCTCATCTGCTCACACAGACACATGTTCGTGCTGCTGTTCGGTGTATTGTTTTTATAGAACCTCACTTGCATCTTGGTCGTATGGAACCGTGGCTCTGTAAAATAAGTACAGGAGACCTCAGGCCAACGACGTTCACCTCGATCAAACAGCACTCAAGCAGGTAAAACACATACTGTAAATGTGGACACTGCGTTCAGCTGGTTTTTCATCTTGAGTGAGCGAGGCCTTCACTGCTTCAATAATAGCTAAAGCATTTGAAAGTCAATTTATGTTTTTGCTGTCAAACGACCTGTCAGGTTGTTTCTACTCTGCTCATCGCCACCATCTGCTGCAGCAGCTTTGACCAGAATAAAACACGTTGGTGAATATCATTAAAACTTCAACAAAACGGAGCATTAACTAAACTTTTTTTAAATTAATTCCTTTAACCTTCAGCTGGAGCCAGCAGGTCTCCTTGACTCATCGTTGAGGAAATGAATTGAAGCCATTATCTGTAATATATTAGATTTTGAATTGTTTGAAAAGTTGATCATTAAAAACGTCCATTAGTGCCGGAATAAAGACTCTCAGGAATATATATTTAATTCTAAAAAAAATAAAATATGTATATAATTTTTTAAATGCCAAACGAAACATTCTGAGCAAGATAAACTTCTGGAGTCAACCCAATTTTTGATGGCTGTCACAGTCAGTCAACATTATCTGAAACAATAACACTGTCAGTTTTGACAGCATTGAGCCAAAACTGGGCGTGGTAGTAGCTGAGAGTCATCCTCGCCACGTAGAGAGGACAGAAACATCGCACACATCGTGATACAAGCACCACATCTGCTGTGATGAGGCAGTTACCAAAACTGCCTGAATGGCTGTTTGAAAATCCAAGATGGCGGCCTTTTTTTCAAGATGGCTGCCAGGATGAGCTTATTTCTGCACAATAATCATGTGGCAATGCAAGCTGTACTCTCCAATAACAAATATAATAATTAATAAGAATGAACCATGTTGAATTTTTACATGAATGATCAGATAGAATTGATCAGAATACTCTTGGGAGTAACTTTGCCAAATTTGTTGCATAATTTTTGCACAGTTATTGGGAAAAATTAGTTTTAGCTGCTCCTTTATCGGAGCGCTCACAGATGCAGCTGTAACTCCGCCTCTTCTCCTCAGAAGATGATTTTGACACTGACAGGAAAGATGGTGGGTGATAAGCATTCCTGTAAGGAAGGCGTGGCCTCTGATTATAAACAATGATGTCATTGAGAGACAGGTCTCGTCTTCAAAGACCTGGTCAGGTAGAGAAAAATCATCCAAAGCAGTTTATCATCTATCCACAACTTATCCTTAACTTATCTTGACTTATCCTAAACTCAACTTCAATTAACTTAATTGATCTTAACTTATCTTACAGTATCTTATTTTAACTTATCTTAACTTATCTTAAGATTCTTTAGCAGAATCATAACGGAGGAACCAGAAGTCCTCTGAAGAGAGCTGAAGACCAAATCCAGATGTTCCAAAGGTCCGAGCTCCAGCTGTTTGAACTTCTGCTGATTCATCAGGACCAGATGTGTTTTGTTTCTTCTTCATGAACTATTTGTGTTTATTTCTATTTTAATGTTTAATTTTATGTTTATATTTGTTCTTATTGAGCTGCACGTTGGGCAGCTGTATGCCTGAAATTCACTTTATAAAAAAAATGTGACTTGATTCTGTCCTAAAGTGGAAATAAAACGTCTCCCAACGTTCCTCAAAAAACAGATTTAAAATGTTTGTCTCTTTGCTCCATCATAAAACTACCAAATTATTCAGGCAGCAATGAAAACCTGCTGATTTATTTGTACCATCATAAACAAAATGTATTTTTAAAAACTTTTTTTTAGATATTTCCAAACTTTAAACGTATTTAAAGCAGACTTGGAAACAACAAATGACTTTCATAGTTAATTGTTTGAACCTTCACTTCCTGTTCTTGGAGCCACTGGCAGTTTTTACTCTGCAAACAAACTCTTTTTATTAAAAAAAATTCATTTTCCACTTGGAAAAGTATCGATTCAGAACTCCCAGGTCCATGAACAGAGCGCGGGCCACCAGGAGAACTACTCCTCCTCCAAATATCTACTTGGCTGACACCCCCCCCCCCCCCCCCCCCAACACACACACACACACACCGGCTTCTCCTCCTCCGTGAGTTCTCTAGTGATGACCAAGAACCGGCAGAGATGGAGGAGGAGGGAGATAATTAACACGTGGAGGGGAGGTGGGATAGGATGGCCGGAGAGGAGGAGAGAGGAGGGAGAAGAGGGAGAGAAGAGCAAGAGGAGGGGAAGCGGAATGAGAGGAGGAGAGAGAAGGGAGAGGAGGGACAGAGGAGTAAGAGAGAAAGGAGAGGAGGGAGAGGCGAGAGGATGGAGAGAGTAGTGAGAGAGAAAGGAGAGAAGAGGGAGAGAAGGAGAAAGAGGATGGAGAGGAGTGAGAGAGGAGGGAGAGATGAAGGAGAGGAGGGAGAAAGGAAGGAAAGGAGGGAGAGAGGAAATAGAAGAGGGAGAAAAGAGAGAAGTGGAAGGGAGGAGGGAAAGGGGAGGGAGAGAGGAAGGAAAGGAGAGAGAGAGGAAGGAGAGGAGGGAGAGGAGAGAGGAGAGGGAGAGAAGAAGGGAGAGAGAAGAGGGAG